AGGGGGAGGGCCCAGGGTGCCTAGGTAGAGGGGCTGGGTGGGTGCCAGGTGACCTTCACAGACCCAGCCTCCCCTTCCCCTCTCCGAGAGTTCAAGGGATGACAAATGCTCCCTTGGAATGCTGCTAGTTAGATGGGGGCTTCACAGAGACTCTGCAAGTCGGTCCAGCTCCTGCTAGTGACCACCGTTTCCTCTAAGTTGTCCTGGGCCTGGCGGGTGTGGGTCAGTGGTTGAGCGTCAACCCATGGACCTGGAGATCATGGTTCGATTCCCGGCAGGGCACATGCCCAGGTTGCGGGCTCAATTCCCAGTAGGGGTGTGCAGGAGGCAGCTGATAGATGATCCTCTCATCATTGATATTTTTCTCTCTCTCTCTCTTCCTCTCTCTGAAATCAATAAAAAACATAGTAAAAAAAAAAGTTGTTTGGCCTCACTCACCCACTCATCTACAAAAAATGCAGTCCAGGCCAGAAAAGGAGCCACGCCTTGGGGGTGGGGGAGGAGGGGCTGTGGAAGATGACTGGGTCCCCAGGGCTCATGGAGAGGCTTCGGCTAGGCTGCCCAGTACCTGCTCCCCTGCCAGGGCAAAGTGGAGACCAGAGCCTTCCCCTTTGGTCACTGCACCCAATCTTTCCTGTTTTGCCAGCTGTGTAAGGGCAAACGGGACCTGCAGCACTGCTTGTAACAGCCCCAAATAGGCAACAACCTGAATTCCCTTCCATAAGGAAAGGAGCTAGGTGATAAGGTAACATGCAGGGTGGCACATACTGTGGTCATTAGGAAGAACCAAGTTGATCTAGCTCCGCTTGCATGGAAAGACACTGCAAGATATGGGGCAAAAAAGCACATTGCAGAAAAATACTGCAAGATCGTTTTGTAAGTAATATATCTACATGAATATGCACACACACATATACACACACATAGAATGTGCTGCAGAGAGAAAGGTCTGGAAGGGCACACCTAAAAAGTGGGTTGACTGAATAGTGAATCTCAGTTTTAAAAAAATATTTTATTATAGGATAAAATGTCCTTTTACCAGGAGCACATACCAGATAGCACATTACATTTCGTGTTCATATCTCCTTAGGCTTCTCTTGGCTGAGACAGAGTATGTCTCAGACTTTCTTATTTTTGATGACTTCCACGGTTTTAAGGACTACTGATTAGGTATTTTGTAGAATGTTCCTCAACTGGGAATTGTCTCATGTTTTTCTGATGATTAGACGGGGCTTATGTATTTTTGTGGGGAAGACCACACTGGTACATACTAGTCACTCATGCCTAGGTTGCACATGCCTGGGTTGCAGGCTCGATCCACAGCAGGGGACGTACAGAAGGCAGCTAATGGATGTTTCTCTCCCTCTCCCTTCCTCTCTCTAAAATCAATAAAAACATATTTTAAAAGATGGTACTTGCCTGGCTGGCATGGCTCAGCAGTTGAGTATCAACCTATGATCCAGGAGATTGACGCTCGATTCCCTGTCAGGCCACATGCTCGGGTTGTGCGCTCAATCCCCGGTGGGGGTCATGCAGGAGGCAGCTGATCAATGACGACTCTCCCATCACTGATGTTTCTACCTCTCCCTCTCCCTCTCTCTCTCTGAAATCCATAGATATCTATTTCTTTTTAAAAAGATGGTACTTAATGAGGAAACATTATACACAGCTACTTTAAAGAGGCATCTATGTTTATAAGATGGGTGTCTCTAAAACAGAGAAAAGTTAAATCTTGCTTTTCTGATGTCTGATACACTCAACAAATTACTCTAATAAAGAACAGCTCTATAATAATTAGAAACATTACCAGAGACACTTTATTTTTAAAAAATATGTTTTGATTTTCTTTTAGAGAGGGAGAGAGAAACATCACTGATGGGCTGCCTCCAGCAGGACCCTGGCAACCCAGGCACGTGCCCTGACTGGGAATTGACCCAGAGACCTCTTGGTGCAGCCACCTGAGCCACACCGGCCAGGGCCACCGAGACACTTTAGAACCAAACCTCAGTAATCTTCAGGGAAGACAGTAAAACTCATTCCTGGATCATTGTCATTTTCAAGTTATCATTTTCTTCAGTAACACATTTGCCACGTGTTTTTTCTCGTTTTTGTTTTTTTACTTACGAAAATAGGAATTATTTTTCTCGTTGGGATGTAAGTTTCTCTTTCCAAAGCATGTTGTGGGCAGTTGTAAAACCTTTCAATTCTCTTCTCGTTTCCCTCCATTTTTTTATTTGCTATCTGTAATAGGAAGTCGATATATTCGTCACCGTCCGTTTTCCCTTTTGGCTTACTGGAACTGCTAGGCCGCCGGTGCTCGGGCAGCCAGCGTGCCCTTTCCTCGTTGCCGCTGCTCGGCCAGTTTCTGGAGCCAGGGTCTCCCGCCCCTGGAGGCACAATCTGTGCGCCCTGCAACTGTAGATGCTGCACACCAAGAGCAAGGCGTTCACATTTCAAAGTGGCATCGCCGTTCGCTTTTTCCAGAGCTGCCATCGCATCTTTCACACAAGGTTTGTAACTGGTAGGCAGCGAGTTTTCTGAACCTCAAAGCCATCCACACTCCCACCTGGGAGGAGGGTGGATGGAGC